TTGCAAGAGAGTAAAAGATAAATTTAGCTGTATCTTAGCCAATATTGGGTCAAAATTCTTCTTTCAGAGCTTGTTTTAACCAGGCAAATGTGTACTACAACTTTAATTAAAGGTATAAGATAAGTTAATGCAGTAGAAACTGTGAGAGGATTAAAATTTTGAAACTGGAGGCCAAAGACCATCAGTACAGTTTCTCTATGAGTTTAAGAGATAAATTTATAAAATTTTTAGGATATATGTGAATTGATGAGCTGAATAGTTTACTTAAGACATCAGGACAGGTTGTCTTAGTAAAATAAAAAGATATAAGTGTTTTTAGATGAACGGTTTTTTAGTTGATTTTTGTGCAATAGATTTGCAGAAAGAGTTTTAAAATTTAGAAACTGACTGTTTTAGTAGGACTTAAAACCTTTATTATATGTTTTTCTATTACATTTTTTTTGGTGTTAAGATGAGGTCTTGCTCATATCTTTATTAGTAACTTTAGTTATATATATTAATATACTATATACTATGATATACTAAGATTGTAAATACAAAATAAAAACTACATGCAAAAATTAAAACTCAGACAGTTTTATCTGCAACCTAAACTAAATGTTTTTTTATTACATATGCACTTTTAAAGCTATAAAACATAGTAAACATTTACTTAAAACCCTTAATTAATATATGCCTCTTTAATTATAAATTTCTTTTAAAATCCTTATTACTATTATTACTCTTATATTTACTAATAGTTTTAAACAACTTTTACAACTAATAATTTTCAAAAGCCTATATTAGGTAGATAATCAACATAACTGTAAATTAATTTATAAATAATACCCAGAAATTAAACCAATAATTTCTTTATAGTCAAATAAGTCTAAAAAGCAAATTTTGTCTAAATTTTACATATAAAATTAGATGCATCGATCATTTGATTCCATATTAAAAAATTTATATGCATGATCTGTGTGACATCTCGGCCGACTGTTAATAAATAATAAATTTGTTTTTAAAACTTAATATTATATAATTCTCAAGTATAGCTTAAAATAACATTCATTAGATTTAACATTATTTAATAAACTTTTTAATTTATTTTATAAAATATGATGCATAAGAAGTAATGATACGGCCTATATATATTTTTGATTTCAATTAGTCATGTATTATCAAATTGTCAATGCCTATTAACACCATATACTGCTATATCTAATTATTAGTCGGTGGCTTCGCCGCCACATGACCATATAATAGTTGATTTATTTATAAAGCCACATTGTTTTTTCTTTGATTAGTTTCAATGTTAGCACCTGCAATTACATGCTGATATTTATTTAATTGTATTTTTTAATCTTTATAAAACTTTCTACTTTTACTGCATCTATGATTTTTTTTTTTAAAAAAAAAACGACCTTTTCGATTTTACGACCATATTTGATCATTAATCATCCCATACATATGATGGTTGTGTTTTTAAAAATAGGGACTTCTCGGTTAACCAGTCTTGGAGTTGCTTTGTCTCAATATTAAGTTTAGCTGCTGTTTGACTTTTGCTATAATCAATTTCATAATATGAAATAATGACAATTTTTCCCCGTGCTTTCATTGCCACCACGCTTTTACATGTACCCTTACTGATTTATTTACTAAATAAATAACAAAATAAACTCACTTTACTATTTTCATGCAATTACTATATGATCCGAATCAATGTTATTGTTATATGATCAACCACATAATCAAAATTTTTATAGTACTTCCCTTTCACAGAGTATCCCGGAGGTATTATTTGATCTATCTTGGCATTTTTGAAAAAAGATCAGGGGTCCTGTATGCAGTTCTGTACAATATGAGTTTTTTCATAGCAAATCGAGGTCTAGAGAGGTTCTAACCGTAATTGAGATTTTTATTGGGTTACGTTCCTAAGTTCATGCTTTATCCATAGCAACAACTTCGGCAAACATTAGCATATTGCAATTTTATACAGCTCCTTGCGCAGTTAAAAATGGTAATATGTCGATATATATGTTATAGTGGGAATGGTATTTGGAATTTCCTAGTTAGAGTTAGGATGTGCATATGATAATATCAACCCCTCAAAACGGGTTTTATATATAAATTCCTTATCCACTTATATTTAAATTTCGTTTCCACTTGCAACATATATAGATTAAATGAATTTTTTAAATGGTAGATTTTACTTATAAACAGGGTATATGTATTCAAACAATATAAAAACCAACTACCAACTCAAAATTTCAATTTGAGAAACTATTTTTTGACTTATAACAAAAAAAAATTTTGAAAATTTTAGTACAAACTATACCTCATCCCAATCCGAAAACCCACCCTTACTCTGATTATAAGCAAGGGTTTAATATTTATTTGTAAATTTGTTTTATATGAATTTGCAGATTACAGAATTAATAAAAATAATACCTATGTATCATGCACCCCCTGTACAATTATAAATTATCTTTTTAAATACATGCCATACTTCAAAATCCTCTATAAGATGAGTTGAATTTAGTGATGTAAATTTTTTTAAATTAGGATAAGTATTAGAATTAGAAATATATAAATTTTGTGAATCAATATACATATCAAAATTATTCTTATTACAACCAAAGCATGGACCGTAATCTGATTGATATTCTGAAACCCAACAAT